TACACGCGTGGGGCCTGCATCACTCGCTCATGGCGTGGCTGCTTCTCCCCCTGCAGATGTTTAGAAGGAATCCCAGCTGCTCTGGGGAAAGGTCCTGTGTTGTGTCTTAAGGCAGACAAATTCTTGAAGTCAGATTGTTAAATAAAAAGTGCAAATTAGCCCAGCTGGCGGTGTGGCTCAGTGGTTGAGCATCGACCTAGGAACCAGGAGGTCACAGTTTGATTCCCGGTCAGGGCACAGGCCCGGGTTGCGGGCTTGAACACCAATAGGGGGCGTGCAGGAGGCAGCCGATTGGTGATTCTCTCTCCTCATTGATGTTTCTATCCATCTCTCTCTTCCTCTCTCTGAAATCCATAAAATATATTTAAAATGTCACCTCTCTCCTTGGCAAAGACACCTTGAGAATGACCTTGAAGACCAGGTTCAAACGTGAAATTCTCAGGCTCTCAGGGTTTGGTGCTGAGACACTGCCGCGTGGGGGAGATGGGTCAGTGGTCTCAGCCTCGGCCCCCCGTCCCTTCGTGTGAGGGCTGCGCTCCCTGCGTGTGGAGTGAGCAGCTCGGTCTGCATGTCCATGCTCTGCCCCTACCCCCAGGCGGCCAGCGCTCCACTGGCCTCAGGGGAGGCAGCCACGCCACCGCCCAAGCTCAGCACCGGGAAGGGTGCACAGGCAGCCGGGGCCTGGCAGGTGCTTACACTGACCCCCGGCCTCACCTGCTTGCGACCTCCAACCCCCACGTGCACATACGCACAGACACATGGTCACCGACTCGGGCTCCTGCGTCACGAAGCAGCCCAGCTGAGCTGAGCTCCGAGGCCACGGCACTCAGCCTGCTCTGCACGCCCGTCAGCGGTCCTGAGGCGACAGGGCGTCCCAGCTGGGGGAACTGGGTGGGAAGCCGGAGTATTTCTCCAGCCTCTGGACACCCCCGCACTTGGCCTGTGGGCAGCTGGGTGTGATGCCCCATGAAGTTGAACTGACAGGGACCTCGGTCACCTGGGCTGGGGAGAGGGGTTGGGGGAGTTGATCACACCCATGGGGCCTCCACCAGGTGCCTCCCTGTTGGCCACACAGGGCTCTCAGGCCAGCGCCAGGGGGGGCCCTGCGCAGTGGGGGGGGCACTGACTTCCCCTCCGCCTGGCCTCGCAGTGTCGGCCCGAGGCCTGCAGGGCAACCTCACTTTCCTGAAAAGAAACAGTATCACCTCCCTCCTTCCCTCTCATCAGACCTGCTGAAAAGTAGCCGTTCCTTCCTGAACCCGCTTTCACTCACTTTTAATTTTCTTTAAAAAAAGAGAGAAAAGGCGACAGGGAATGAAACGTCAAGGTTTGGCCGAAACCCAGAGGGAATATTCATTTCAGCAAAATCCACTCCTGGCCCAAGTCAAGGTGTGAGTGTGAAACGCCCCGTTCAGCCTGAAGTTCCGCCCTCCTGCGCGTGGAGGCGCGGCTGCGGAATGTCAGGGGACACACGGGCGCCCAGGAAGGTGACCCCCGAAACAGAGAGCGGGTGGTTACGGAGACGGGCTCCTGGGGGGCTGCCGGGCTGGTGTGAACATGAGACCTGGGAGGGGTGGGCCGGCCTCACCCCGTGGGCCCCAGCTTGTCCCCGGCGGCTCTGCTGGGGGAGGGGGTGTCACTAGTTGTCACCTGCGCCCTGATTGCAGCCGGCGGTGTGACTGCCTCTCACACAGGTGCCTCGTGGGGCGGGGGGCGGGGGATCCATCAGCGCCTTCCAATTCCGGCCCCGGCAGCACCGACAGAGCGTCTGCGCTCCGCTCCGGGGCCGCCGTGAGGGAGCGGCCAGGAGGGCTCCCTTTCACTGCTCGCTGTTCATCCCTCCTCCCAGCCTTCCCTTCGGTAGCTGCTGAGGGACAAGCAGAGCACACGTGTCCGTGCGTGTACCTCTGTGTGCATGCATGTGTCTGTGTGCACACATATGTGTGCACGCACACACGCACACGTGTGCATCTGTGTATGTTCACATGGGTGCATGCATCTGTGTGCGCATGTGTGCGTGGCTGTGTCTGTGGTCACGTGGGGCTTTTCAATGATAAATGGAAATCGGACACAATGTGTCGTCGTGTCGGGGATGAGGGCCCGGCCTGTCCGGGTGGCTCCCTCTCAGCAGAGGCCGCCCCAGGGACTAGGCAGCAGGGGGCCGGTCACAGCCGCGGGG